CCCCCTGTAGGGGGACACGCCCGACTTGAGGCTGGCACTTTGCCCCGCGCCCCGGCTTCCTGCCGGCGGCCGGGCGGCGGCTGTCGGGGGCGGCAAAGAGACCGGCCGCCTCCGAGACTGAAGTCGGGCCTGTCCCCCTACAGGGGGATTTTCGACGAAGAATAAAAGATACCCCCAAAATAGTCCAGAAGTAGTCCACAGATCGTCCGGGGACTATCTTTTGAGTATTGTTTGGCCTTTTTGGGGCATTTTTTGGGGTATTTTTCATTCTTCGTCGAAATCCCCCTGTAGGGGGACAGGCCCGACATAACCGTAGCGAGGGCCTCGGGCAGCTCCGAGAGCTGCCCGGCCGCCTTCCAGGCTGCCTCGGCCTGGTCCTGATCGAGCTCCGCCTCGTTGATGTCGCCGAGGTCGGTGGCCAGGGCCTCCAGCTCGCGCTGCGCGAGCTCCTCGACACCGTCAGCGTCTGTCTCGTCGTTCTCGTAGCCGTCGTCATCCTCGTACTTTGCCTCGTTGACAGGCTTGGGCGGTTGTCGGTCCTTGCCACCGTGCTGCTATTATCCGTAAGGGCTTCGCCCCCTGCCGCCGGCCTCCTCTCTATCAGAATAGGATACATCAGAGCTATATTGGGATGTTCGGGCGCCGTCTTGATGACATTCGGGAACGTCATGCTAGGGCGGCTGGCGATGAGCAAAACAGATTGAGATGTTGAAGTTGTTGTTGAACGCTTTGTTGCCTTCTTGGCATTTTCCTCGAGTTGTTCACTGGAAGCGCTCTGGGAACGGCTGGGGATTGCTTCAGGCAATCTCTGGGAAGGTTATTTTTTTCTGCTCTGGAGAAGGAGTGGCGCTTTTGGGCAGCTTCCGCGAGGTGGATTCGTAGCGTGGCGGGTGCACGCGAATTTGGTGTAATTTGCGGGGGCTCGTGGCCTCGGGGACGCGAATGTGGTGTAATTTGCGAGGGATCGTGGCCTGGGGGGCGCGACAGCGGCGTAATTTACGAGGGATCGTCGCCTCGGGGGCGCGAATGTGGTGTAATGATCGTGGCCTCGGGGGCGCAAATGTGGCGTAACTTACGAGGGATCGTGGCCTGGGGGGGTGAATGTGGAACCCACCGCCGAATTTTCCAGAAACGGGGGGGGGGGGGCAAAACAATACCAGCGGAGCATATATCCCAATACAGAAAATTGTCGTTTTCTGCTTTGGAGAGGGGGAGCGCCTTTTCGGCAGCCTCCGCTAAGCGGATTCGTGGCCTCGGGGGCGCGCCCGCTGTGTAATTTACGATGGATCGTGGCGTCTTGGGCGCGAACTTGTCGTAATTTACGAGGGGTCGTGGCCTCGGGGGCGCGAAAATTATGTAAATGACGTGGGATCGTGGCTTCGGGTGCGCGAGTGTGGCGTAAATTACGGGGGATCGGCGCGAATGTGGAGTAATTTGCGAGGGATCGTGGCCTCGGAGACGCAAATGCGGCGTAAATTACGAAGGATTGTGGCCTCGGAGACGCGAATGCGGCGTACTTTACGAGGGATCGTGGCCCGAATACAGTTTAATTTGCGAGGGATTATGGCTTGGGGGGCACGAAACTCCAGTATTTTTACGTGTCCCACGCCCACCCAGAAATTCTGAGAACCCTCCCTGGGGACGCTAGCCAGGCTGGTTTTCGGCTCCCCCCCCTCGCGCGGACAGTAACAATTTACAGTAGGAAGTAGAAAGCAGTACTGTAACAATGGAAACTGGAAACTGGAACTGGTACAGGGAGCAGCAACCTTAAAGCCTCGCAGCCTGATGGCCCCGCAAGGGGGCCGGCGGATTTCTTCTGCTCGAAAGGTCGTAGCTGCTGCTGGTGTTCGCGTTCGCCGGTATGAATGTCTTGAAGAATCCGCATCGCTGTGGTCTGAACATCTCGCAACTGGAAAGTGTCACTTGGTAGGGCTGCTATCAGCCGTTTTCTCTACTTCTTGGTGATGTTGAGCCGTCGCATGAAACACTAGCCACGAATATCTAGCTCGATGCCGTCCTCGGAAAGCTTCGTCACTCCTTGGTCGAATATCGTGATATAATCAGAATTCTGGTCCCTGGTCCGCGTGCATACTTCTGCGTCTCGAAAAGTCGGTTATAGATTATATCCATTTCTGCATACCTTCGGCCGGCACAGGGACTCGAGCGGCTCCATCAATGTTCGAATACCTCGCTCCAGGTCTGGCGGGATGCCTTCGGTGACGAGCTCTCCTTTTTGTTTTCCTTTTCCTCTGGGTGGTTCGCCTCGTATTTTTTCCTGGCTTCGGTAGGGTTGCAAATCTTCTTTCTTCAGCGTCAGGGCCTTTCTGCGAGCTGCTCCTTTACGTTTTCTCATCATCCCCGCTTCGACGCTGTGCCGTGCATCCAAGTTCAGACCGAGCGTCCACATCCGCACCTCTTCTTTGTAGTTCATCCAAGAGGCGGGGTCGCCATCCCAGCTTGGGATGGAGCTGTCCTCACGCTCCAAGTTCGGATCCATGACTGCCGAGCTGCCGGCGACAACGAACAGAACTGCCGAGAGAAAGAGGACGAGCATGAAGTTTACGAGCTGGCTGATGATGAGCTCCTGCGCTGCAGGTGGCCGCGCTGCAACCGAGGCCAAGCCACGACGCCGCCAGCGCCGCCGGCGTAGCCGCAGAATGAACCGCTCCGCTGCCACTGTCGTAGCGATATTGTATCGCGTATATCGATATGGATGGAATATGTATGCTTGCGTAGCTGAAACTGGTCAAAGCACCAGAGCCAAACTTGTTGATGTGCTCGCTGCTAAACATGTTGCTCACACATCTGATCACTCACAGAAGGCACCAGGCGAGATAGCATGCAAGAAACACCATCGAGGAGAAAACTGTTGGCCAGCAGGCCAGCAGCCACGCGCGCTGGTTAGCGCACAAGCGGTCCAACAGGGAAGTGACCTTCACCCTCGCGTGCGTATCAAACTTTCGTCGATGTGTTGGGGCTGGCGGTGAGAGTGCCGTACCTCTATGCCGAGAACCTCCTGCGGCCGGGGCGATCGTCTATGTTTGTGCATGTGAGAGGCCACGCAGGCAATACGGTCGCGTCTACAGACCTTGTTAAATGGGGGGTATGAGGGAGACGCGGATTCACAGTTGGTGTCGTTCCAGCCACCGCGCTGGGACTGCTGGTGAGCTTCATGCCATCGTGTGGATGTTGCAGTGTACTCGTTGGCACCAGGGCCAAGGTTAACGTCTTGTTCGGACGGACTCGGCCCTTCTGCGATCCAGGATTCGAGACCTGGCGGACGTCTCAGTGCGGGGTGGAGAGACCCTCCGAGGGCGTTGGCGTTAGTCCGCGGTCTGCGGATCGTGCCCCGGGTTTGCGATCTGCTTTGCACTGTAATGTATTCCTGCGGCGTCATCGGCAACGAATTCGTGATGCGCAAGTCGACGTCAACAGGCTCGTGTACTGACGTGCATGTCTGCCGAGTTTCCCTGTGCAGTTAGATCATCGTTTCGTCCTTACAGCTGACCCTTTGTATAGTCCCTCGCGTAGCTGGGCCTTTAAGCTGTCCCCTCGACATTTTGTATCCAGGTGGGGACCGTCGCTGATTCCTTCATCTCCGCGGCTGGGCAACATTTCACAAGGTGCGCTCTTGTGAAGCAAAGGCCGCGGTGGCTTCAACAGGCCTCAATGAGCAAATGGTTGCAAAGTCTATTCTTGTGAACGACACCTCCCATGTAGCATCATCGTGCCAGTAGGGGACACTTCGTCCCACCTGGCCTGCCCTTTGTAGTTTCGCATTCCAGGTAGTCACTGCGCTCTGAGGGCGACAGTATCGCCCGCCCTGAGCAGTTTACCATTTCCCTCGGGGATGCGATGCGCCTTCTCGGGCCCAGAGGAGGTAGCCCCTGTTCATTTTCATGTCAAGCTGTCGTGGACGTAAGTCAACGCGCCATCCCTGGTCAGTTGCAGCGCTGGGATCAGCACGTGCGAGAAGGGCGAGTGGTGACGTCGGGCGTTGGCGCTGCCCAGCGAGATGTGGGAGACGGAGGAGCCGCTCTGCGTCTTCAGATACAAGGTTGGAACATGCGCGTGCGAGAAGTGCGGCAAAAGACGATAGGCGTTTGCGGAGCTCAACGAGCTGCAGGGAAGCAGCCAGTAGAAGGGAGCTGGACGAAATCAGCCACGCATTGGATGTCACAGTGTGCGAGGCGTCATCTGGCGACTCTGCGTTATTCCCAGGTTTTCTTCGGACCGGTCTTTCGCGGGGTTGAATACCGGATGCTCGCTGAGCGTGTGGGATCCTGCTGATCGGCCAGTGCAGGTGCTTGGATGAAGATCTTGCCTGTTGCGAGCTTGCCAGTGAAGGAGCTGAGCCTGCGGGCCAGTCGACGGCCAGCTGCAGCGCCGAGGTCAGCGCGGCACGAGACGGGCGAGTGGTGGCAGCAGGTTCTGAGGCTGCTTAGCGAGACGCGGACGCTGCTCAAAGGGTCTCGCCTTCGGCGCATCCTCGCCTTTGGCGAAAGCTGGCGGAAGGGCAAGTGTAAGGCAGCGGAAGTCAAATGGCGGCGGGCTCGCTGGTGGAAGCCTGAGGATGGCGTCGGAAATATAAGTGAGACGTCCGCCGCATGTTTTTGGATCCAGGGCTTCGGAGCGGGCCATGTCGGAGGCGAATCTGGAGCCCAAGCGATTTGTTGCAGTGCTGGATGCAGAGTGCTGCGCGCCATGTTCTCCACTGGGGGTGCAGGTGGTGGTAGCTCAGTGTGCGCTTCCCCACCCGTCAGTTCCATCGATCGCGCGCAAACTGTGCCGGCCCCTCATCAGCACAACCCCTGCGTCGTATTGATGGGCTTCGGTGGACAGGCACAGGCTGGCGCCAATGTGCGCTCCGACGGTTACCGATCTCCACCCGTGGCCACCTTGGGCTCGAGCACCTCCGGACTCGTCAGGCCTTTCCGCCCCGAGCCTTTTCAGCATCGCTCGACGTGCGCTCTGCCCACCCTCCATACGGCGCCGACAGG